TGCTGCGGACGAACAATGCGAGCTACCTGGATCTTCTCACTGCCGTAATCTATCAAACTTCCACGATCGAAGAACACAGTAAAAAAAACTTTACTTGGACTTTCTTATCAGATTTTGTTTTTTTTTGTTCCAGTTTCCTGGGAATGCTACTGTGGTTGCTTATGCTGGGAACCCCACAATTGTCTCGACGCCAAAATACTTCCTTATTCCTTATGTAAGTTCACGAAAAGAGTTTTAGCGGAAATAGGAGTCACGCTTTGTTTTGTAAGCAGGGGAGAATACCGATCTACACACTCGTGATTGAGCTCAAGAAAGGAGTGCTCAAGAATTTGCTTTGGTAAGAATCACCTTTGCTTAGACTCTTGTGTGTGTTTATGTTTCTTTCTTCAGGAAGGACGATAAATGTGCATCTTGTGGTGGAAAGACGAGCGCTTCGTGCTTCCAAGGCGCCTGTTCGACGTCAGAGTCGACTTGTCTGGATCCATCGTCGACAATTGCGTCGGTAAAAGGCGCTGATCCGTGCCGATTTGCCGTAAGTTTTGTGTCTTTTCGTCCGAGATAGAAGAACCATCCGTCCTTACTCCTTTGTGGCTCTTTGTCTCTTCACTTACAGATAAATGTGGCATTCTCTGGAACAGACAAAAACAATGTGGTGATGGACTCGTGGTACCAGGTGAAGTCCATGGAGCAGTACTCCATCACATCGCTCTTTGGACAGGCCGGCAATGCGCTATCCCAAGTTGGTCTGTCCATCATAGACGACCAACTTGGTGGGTGACATAATCGACCAGCCACGTTTGACACGATGCGTACCTTACTTCGGCCGAGAGGAGCATGTCTTCGGGTAATCCTAATTCGGGACTGGTAAGCTTGTGTTTTTTCAGCGCCTCTCACTTGGAAGTCAAATTTTGCCATGGTTGCTGCGCTCTATATTTCATCTAGTAAGCTCGAGAGTTCTTTTCAGCTGAATGATGTGATGCCATATAGGTGATTGATCATTTCCTCACTGAGCTCGCTCGCCGAACGTTTTGCCTCGTGCCGCCAATCTGGTGTACCTTTGTGAATGCAGCGACAATTTTAAGAGCCCAGGAGGTCAGCCATTGCAGATTGGTTTCCGGACAAGCTGGCCAGCTTCGGCACCATCAGCACCGCAGTGGGTCGTCAGGATGCTCTTACAGAAGTGGGGATTATAGCACAAAGGTAGTCAGTTACGCTGCGCAGCTCGAAGCTGGCCACGGGCTCGCAAATGGGATGAGATCATGGTATGAACCGATATGTTTTCATGAAAGCTACGTAAAATAGGGCATGGATTTGTAGTCCTCGATCCATTCATTGGTGCTCACAGAGCAAGTGTAGCAACCTTGGCATTCACTTGAAAGAGAGGCATTCACTCTCCTCGCAGCTTTCCTGGATTCACCAAAGCCAAATCAGTAAACGGATAATTTTTTCAACGGAGATGGAGAGGCTCGCGTCTATCGACTCGCGAGGCATGAGTGTTATCACTACGGCACATTTCGAGGAGGTCAAAGTCCATGTCATACTTATAAAATTGTCGGACATGATCAACGATCAAACAAGCTTAAACCACATTGAGCTCTAGTTTGTTAAAGCTGGAGCAGGTCCAGATACATTCCGATGCCTCTGAAGTACTGAGTTAGTGTAGCAGAGCCCCACGAATTTGCCAACTGGAGTGACGAAAAATTGTCCTTTTGCTTCTGCTGCCCAGTGTATAACTCACTGGAGCTAAAGGTGAGTTGATCTTGCGAACTTGTTTGGTCCTCCGAATCTTCTCATTTGGGTTAACTCTTCATTTGGATAGTCCATACATTATATCTGCGAAAAGAACAAGGAAGAACTCGTGAACAAGTTCGAGCTCACCTGTGTTGGCGCCTTGCGTGTGGTGCCATGAGCTGGTGCCCAGATATGCTGACCATCTCCATAGTCATACATCACTTGGGGACCATCGAACACTTCACCATGCCAGAGTCTTGTGCACACAATTGCCATCGCCAAACTCAATTCCTTCTGTGCCGCCCCATCAGCCATAGCGATGAGTACTGGATCCGAAGATGGAGTAGTATAATGTCAGCTGTGAGCAAAGCATATGTGATGAAGTGTAGAACACTTGACACAGAGGGCGAACATGAAAAAGAACACTAAAATCCATATATCTCTATTGATCGATCTTAATTGAATGATTGGAAGCAAGGGCCAAGTGCTTGAGATTAACTTATTGCAAGCAGGAAGCTGAAGGACGTCAATTAAAAAGTTGTCTTGTTTTTGAGCACCACATTCTTCATATGGAAGGGAAAATGCTGGTTCCCACCCTCAACTGCTCCTTGCTTCTTGTTATGACAAGAATTTCCTAGTTTACTTGGATCTCAAGGATATAAATGCATGGCAAGGCAAAGATTTTATCCATTTGGATGAAATTCTAAATGTATGGAAGAGAAATTTGTAAAAGCAGCTGAAGACCAAAGAAGTATGTTGAAGAGCATTGAACTCTTTATAAAAGGTTGGTGACTTGGTTTATGTGAAAGTGATATTTCCAGTATATACAATTAGCATGTTCTTTATAAAAGATGGGAAAAGTGACCTGTCTCCTAGGCATTCCTATGAATCTTGGAATATATCAGTAAAATGGTGAAGTAAGTGTGAAAGTACACCCATTTTTCTATGTTAGCTAGCTGAAAAGTGTTTTGACAAAAAGCAAATCTTGAGTGAATTCCCTATAGATGTTTCAAGCTGAGGAAGAATGGATAGAGCTAGAGCCCTAACAAGCGTCATCAGTCAACTAGTGGACAAATCATTTACAGCAGTACCTTTAAATGACAAAAAACACCTTCAGATCCTCTATTTTGCAATTCCCCAATCCAACAATGTTTTACCAGATGCCACCATTTGATTGTCCTAGGTGAGTGACATTGTGAGGCTCTTCATTTCCTATTGGACCTTCTCTATCCTACTATCCTCTCTACTCCTTTGATTCTTCAAATTCTTTAGGATGCCTTTCCATATCAAAATATTCCCAAAGCTCAGATTCCACAACTGGGGTAAATGTGTCTAATACAAGCTCAGTAATTGATGTTGTAATGGTTTTTTCAGCCCCTTTAAGAAATACTCTTGGAATTGCCAATCCATGGCCATACATGGGCCAAATGTTCTGGTATACTAAACACATCAAATGAAGACCACACTATCTCACTTTCTTTCAGAGGAATAATTAGCCTTTGGCTTAATAAGAACTAATCGCCACCAAAATTCTCTCAAACATTTAAGAAACTCTTCTTGATTTGAATTTCACTTAACTCTAGTTCCTTAGCTCTTTTCTGACTCACGTCCAGCCATTGACCTACTTAGCAGTAAAAAATATTGCAAATCAATATTTTGTCTCAGCTGGCTGCACATCACTCTTAAAAGTTGGCAGCTTGACTTTGCTTGAGATGGTCAAGTCTTGTCCCCTAGGCATTACCAACTAGTTGAATCCACAAAACATATTTAGAAGAGGAATTCTACATCCCTTTGATGTAAAGGGCTTGAATATTGAGTTATAATCAGTTGCTACATGCAAATTTTCTCACTAATGCACACTTAAGTACTATTTGTTTTGCTGAATCCTCCTACAAGAGTGGTATTGGATCAAATTGGTAACCCTATGAGACCTCAGCCCCCTCAAATAGACTCTTCTGAATGCAAAAAACCACCCTCTTTTACATCTACTCTAGAGGTCCTTTAGCAACCTTAGAATATAACCCACTCTTAATAACCCTTTGCCATCACTTAAGGCCTTTAAGGTGGATTTAGGGTAGAGAAGATAAAGCTAAACCCCACTATTATCACTTATGGCAACCTACAAAATGAGAGATATACTCTCTTTTCTAAGCCCCAAATAAACTCCTTAAAAGGAACTTGTAGTCTTGCCATTAACTTTTTTTTAATAGTTCCAATTTATTTAATTTTGGGATCTAATTATAGCTTCTTTTAGATTATTGCAACACAATCTAAAGATAATCAATGATCAAATTTGTCATGTTTGATCCATATATCTCTAGTCCCCAAGTTTTGCAAAAGCATCAATTAAAACTAATGCTAAGTAGTGTGTGACAAACTTGCCCACATATAACTACAGAATAGCCAGCAAAGTGTGTAGGCAAGAAACATTATGTTTATGTTCCAGACTTTGTTTTATACGTTTAAACATTTTTGGGGCCATTGTTGTGCAATATTTCACTATACCTTCAAATGTGATGACTGGGAAAAATGTAACCTTCCCTACACACAAGAAATCCCATACTCAAGACATACGTCACTAAGGAAACACATTTTTAAACACCAGAAAACTTGAACTTCTAATTCATTTGTAGTCAAGGTTAAATGAACTGCTTAAATTGCTTTGTGATTTTGATAGTTGACAAATTAGATCCAATTTGGATCATTCACTCTTGTATATAAGCTAAAGTTTTGGGCTAATATGAATATTCACATTTCTATATTTCAAGCTCTCACAATATTAAATAAAAAATTAGATATAATTAGATTAAAACTCAACTCAACTCAATTGCAAGTTTGAATTTTGAATTTTAGTTGTTAGATATGCCACTAAATGATCAAAGAGACATCAGTGGAAGAAATAATTTAGTTATTCTAAAAGGATCAACTGGATAAGTAGTTAATAGATATATGCAATAATGTTTGGTTAGCTTAGCTTATGAAACCAAATTATAACGTTAGGTTAAGCCTCCCTTATGAAATTAAAAAATATGCTGAAATATACTTAACTATTCACCCCATAAACCAAAAATAAATGATCTTATAGGTTATCTCACAAACCGTGAACATTAATAATTTATTTTTTATCTAATTACCCTTTTTCGTAAATACGAACTTTGGACAAACGTTGGCCATACGTGTCCGCCTTCTGTCCGTCGGTTTTGTTTATAAGCGGCATCGGAGAATTCTCTCTCTTTTGTTTTTTCTTTCTCCCTTTTCATTTTTATGCTTTTAGTCAGCTGCTTATTAGGGTTTGGGTGGAATGCGCGGTCGCCCTGGTAATGCTGCGGCATTCTCTTGCCCGATTCCTGCGCCGGCGCCCTAGATTTACGCTTGTTCTTGCTCTCGGTTCGTCGGCCATAGCTGGAGGATGCGCGATTGATCGGGATTCCTGGGTTCTTGCTCCAGCTGAGGTGACATGATCTCGATCGACGAGGAAAACAACGGCTTCCAGAGTAAGGCTGCCTCGTTTGAGCTCCTCAAGCTAGCAAATGAGAAGCAGGCCGCGGCGAAGCTGGTGATTCGGCCGGCTGTCCTGGCCAGGGCTCTTGAGGAAGAGCTTAGGGACGAGCAAGTGCCCAGCAGCTTGGGGCCATCAGATGATTCATTCATTTTTGAGCATCATAGGGCAAAGCGAGAATTTTTTGCATTGCCGCTTGGCCGGTGAGTGGCTGATTCTTGATCCCTCGCGTCCTAGCTTGTGATCATTGTTTCCAGAATCGCTAGAACTATGAAAACTTGGATACGAGAAATGGAGGACAAGAGGAGGGCAAAGCTCTTCAATGCTGTCGCTGGAGCTGGCGCAGGTTTTTTTTTTTTTTTCCCTCTTAACTTCGTGCTCACTTAAAATTCTTTTTTCTTTGTCAAGGTTCTATATCTGCAACGTTTGTCGCTCCACTCGATGTCGTGAAAACGCGACTTCAAATCCAACGCATTCCAAAGGCTGGACAACTTGGTGTAAATGGTAAGCTCGTTTACGTCTTTGTCTTCGTATTGACTTGAGAGTTCTCCAGCTTTTGGAGGTACGAGCTTAGGAAAGACACTTCAATCGATAGTGAGGCAGGAGGGAGTCAGGGGACTTTACCAGGGCTTGGCTCCAACGATTTTGGCGTTGCTTCCCAACTGGGCGGTAAGTTACAATTACTCAGAAAGACCTTTAAGCTCAATCGCCTAACTCGCAGGTTTTCTTTACAACTTACGAGCAAATGAAGAGGTTATTGCAGACGAGAGGTAAAGCGAGCTTGGTACTTCTATTTCGAAGATGATAACTATTTCTTTGTACAAAGATTCACAAGCCGGGAAGCAGCAGCTGACGATGAGCTCACATTTATTAGCTGCGACGGTGGCTGGAGCCGCGACTAATCTTATTACCAATCCTCTCTGGGTTGTTAAGACTCGTTTGCAGGTAATTTTCTCTTGACTTTTTGCTGTCTGTTGATGACGGTAAAATCTCAGACTCAACGGCTGAGACCGGATTTAGTTCCCTACAAGAATACTTTCTCTGCCTTACGTCGCATTGCGGCTGAAGAAGGCCTCAGTGGCTTGTATAGGTGTGCTTCCATTTTTTTCACGCTTATATAATCCCGTTTTTTAATCCTTTTCTGTGCTTAAACAGCGGATTGATACCAGCACTTGCAGGAGTAAGTCACGTCGCGGTGCAGTTCCCGGTTTATGAGCAGCTGAAGCAGTATTTCGCAAAGCTAGGTGGGACTGACAACTCCAGTTGCTTACTGTTTTGCTAACTTCTTATCTTCTTCCAGATGGAACTACGACAGATAGATTGTCAACAGGTCGCGTGGCAATTGCTTCATCAATATCAAAAGTCCTTGCTTCTACCATGACGTACCCTCATGAGGTTTGTGATTCTTCTAAACTTATTACGATGGCTTTGATTTCTCTTTTGCAGGTTGTGAGAGCTCGGCTCCAACAACAGGGTCAGGTCGCCGTCACTCATATGAAATACGCCGGTGTTGTAGATTGCGTGAGGAAGATCTGGGTGGAGGAGGGAATCGCCGGTTTCTACCGAGGCTGCGGGACAAATCTCATGAGAACAACACCCGCGGCTGTGATCACCTTCACGAGTTTCGAGCTGATAATGCGGTTCCTCCAGAGCTTGGAGCCTCCCAAGGCAGTGGTTTTGAAAAGAGACGACGACGACAGCGGCGAGGAGGTCGTCTCGGAAGAAGTTACAAAACATTGAGTTTTGGCACAGTTCGTGAAAGCCAAGCGGGTCTGGGTGACGATTTTGGGAGCTCAAGCTTTCGTCTCCAGTGAGGTCTCGATTCCTTCCATCTTTTTGTCTTGCTCATATTTTGCTTAGCTCTCTGCGATTGCATTTGTTAGTAGCACATAGGCCGCTGCGCTTGCCGGCTCCAAATCAAGTACGAATTTTGTTGCCCGACCACTGACTTTGAGATTTTGGTGTGCTTTGGAAGCTCCCAGCAAACAGGTCCAGTCCCAAGAATCTGGGAGGAATGGCATGCTTTCGGTGAGAGCTTGGGACTCGTCGATATGGCCGCCACGACGAAGAACATCAACCATGAGGCTATAGTGTTGCTTCTTTAGCTCCACGCCAAAGTCACGCGTCATTGAGGTGGCGTAGTGCCAGCCTGGACAAACGTTTCCCACGTTGCCGCACGCTAGGAGGACGCAGGCAAACGTGACTTCATCCGGGAGCTCGGTCGTGGCCATGACGTGGAAGAGCTCAAGCGCCAGCGTGGAATGCCCGGTCTGGGCATATGCTGCTAGCATGGCGTTCCACGTCACGGTGCTTCTCTCCTCGATTCGATCAAAGAGCTGCTTGGTCTCGTCCAGCTGTCCGACGCGTGTAAATGCCGATAATAGAGCGTTCCATGAGCCTGTGGTCTTACGTGGCATTGCGTGGAAGGTGTTCTTGGCCTCGTCAAGATGCCCTTGTGAGGCATATGCCGCCAGCATTGTGTTTTGGGCGATGGCGTCTCGCTCCGGCATAAGATCAAAGTAATATCTAGCGTCGTCGATCCATCCTGCCTGGGAGGAGGAAGAAATCATCAGAGTCCAGGAGATCAAGCTTCTCTCTGGCATTTGCTCGAAGAATTCCTTTGCTCGGTCGCTCTGGGTGTAGGCGGACAGCATCGCGTTCCAAGAGGCGAAGTTCTTGAATTTCATCGATCGGAATGTTGCCTCGGCGAGCTTGATCTCGCCTCGATTCGCGTAGAGGGAGATCATGGAAGTGGAGGAGACGAGATCGTGGTCCTCCATTCGATCAAACATTGCCCTGGCGGTGTTGAGATCCCCAATTCTTGCATACAGCGATAGCATCGCGCTCCAGGAGACCTGGTTCCACTCCGACATGCTGCTGTGGAAGATCTTCTCGGCCTGAGAGAGATTCCCATTCTTGCAGTGCGCGGTGAGAATCGCGGTCCAGGAGATGAGATCCCTCTCCTCCATCGCCCACAGCAAATTCTCGGCCATGACGAGATGCCCGACGTTCGCAAGCGCCGAGAGAATCGCGTTCCATGACACGAGATCCCACTCCGGCATTCCATCGAAAAGATTCTTTGCCCTGTCGATCGCGCCGGAGGCGGAATGGATCGCGATCATCTTCGTCCAGATAACCAGATCCAACGCTGGGATGGAATCGAAGAGCAGCGCTGCGCTGCTATAATCCCCGCCCTGGGCGTATGCCGCGATCATCAAACCCCAAGTGTAGATATTCTTTCGCTGCGTCGTGTCAAAGATCTGGCGCGCCGTGTGAAGGCCGCCGCTCTTCCCATGGATCTGGATCAAGAGATTTCGCTCATAGGTCTCCCTTGGGGCGAGGATTTGATCCAAGCAAGGAATCTTTCTTCCCGCCCATGGCGACGAATATACCTTTACCATGCAGTTTACCGCGCGGTAATTCGTGTTCTAGGGCTTGACGAACGGCTTTTCCCATTGAGCTCTCTGTCGCTTGGTCGTGAAGAGAAGTGAGTACCAGGGGTTTTGCGCGATCGCGATCAAAGCTGCGATATTTCGAAGGCGCCGCATTGCCGGATTTGCTGATCCATCAGCGGCCTCGAGGAATCGAGGTATCGTATGTGACAGATCCAGGCGGGGGCCTGAAGCTCAAGCTGCGCGTCGATGGATCTCCTCTAGAAGCTACATTCTTGCCAGATCCATGATTTCCGAGGAGTGATTCTTTATTGGTAAAGAGTGTGGGAGAAGCTCCAGATTTGGTGACCGATCCGGCAGACCCAGGCGTATACTCCACTCTTGTTAGCTGGGAATCGATGATTGCGGTCTACGGGCTAGAAATTTCGGGCGTGGAAAGGCTCGAGGCTGGAATTTGATCCATGAGAGAAAGGACGCCGCCAATGCCGTCGCAAGGCGAGTTTAATGGCTCGGTGTTCGTGTTCCCGGACGACTACGCTCACGCCAGTCGCAGTGACGCTACCGGAGCTGCAAAGAAGGAGTCGAGCGTGGTGTCTAGAAAAGCGGAAGAATCGGGTAAGTCTTTTGTCAATGAATTTCTACCTGGGATCGCAGACTGATGATCACTTTGCGAGGAACAGCGAATAGAAGATACTTGGCGGCTTTGTGGATGGAAGAAGTTGTCGGTCCTCTACATCTTTCGGTGGAGCCTTCCGAGGAGGAGTTTGGTCGCTGCTTGCGCAATGGAATTTCTCTGTGCAAACTAGTTAACAGTGTGCAGCCTGGATCCGTCTCACGGGTAATTTTTTCTTTTCTCTTGTCATTGTTTTAGTTCTTGTTTGTTGATGCCGAATCAGTGCTCAGGTTGTCGAGAGCTGTTCTTCCAGTCCGGCGGATGGAGCCCTTTCTGCTTATCAGTATTTTGAGAACGTCCGGAATTTTCTTGTCGCAATGGAGGACCTCAGTATACCGACGTTTGATGCCTCTGACTTAGAGGAGGTAATAAGAACATAAGTTCGTTTGTTTCATGCTGTCTGGTGTATCCGCAGGCTAGTTTTGGAGGAGGCTCCGTTGCTAGAGTTGTTGACTGCATCTTGGGTTTAAAATTGTATCACGAGTGGAAGGGAAGAGGAGGCCAGGGTCAGTGGAAGCACAGCTCGAAACAGAAGAGCCTGCTCACATTATCGTTGGAGGAAGGGGAGAAATGCTCCTCGCTCACAAAGTCGAGGTCTTTTAGTGGGAAGAGTGGTCGTAAACGCTGCGTACTTCCGGAACTTGACTTTCTTGGCGAAACGCAGCTACTCTTTCCTGATGAGCCTCCCGAATTTCAAGCATCGCGTCAAAATTACGGAGGACAACCAGCTTACGCAGAAAATCTAAATGCGCCATCAGGTGCTTGTTTTTCTTTTAGCCTGTCAGTTTTCTAACTTGTGTACTGCAGATATTTCAAAGCAGACGGCCTCCGGATTGGAAAACCGAGATTGGCAATCAAGCATTTTTGAGTCGTTTGATGGTATCGAGGTATTAAGAGAGTTTTAGTGGCTTATGTTTTATCGTACAGTAAAGTATATGAAGCCTCTGTGACAGAATCAATCACCAGCACTGTTGTCCAACACGATCAGATCTCTTTTGAGTCAGAAACAACCGGATGAGATTCCTATGGTAAGTCTTATGATCGTTCCTCTTGATTAATCGGTGAATTTACAGGTTGTAGAGTTCATGCTGCAGAAGATAATGGAGGACTATAGACGTCGTTTTTATGCTCAAAATCTCCAATTGAAGAAGGTTCTTTTTGATTCATCAATTATGTTTTTTTGAAAACACCACTCTGCCAGTTGAAAAATGCGCTGAAAGAAGCTTCAGGCCGAGGAAGTAAGTTTACCATGGACATAGAGCATGGGCCTCAAAATGATGACAAGGTGATGAACAGGTTCAATTAAGGTTATGTTTTTTTTTAATTATCTGACTCTGTACAATAGATCATGTATGACCAGTTTAAGCTCATCAAGGTACCTTCTTTGTTACCAATTCACGACTTTTTGTAAAGCTTCATAACAGGATTTGAAAAATGCATGGCACAAAACGAAGCAAGACGTTTTGGCAATGCGGAGAGATTGGAATCTGGAAGTAGCACACCTGGGTAGCTGAACTCCAATATAGAGCTCGCTTGTTAACGCTCGTTTTGTGCAGAATCACACATCAAGGGACTAGCTGCTGCAGCATCAGGATACCAAAAAGTGCTTCTAGAAAACCGCAAACTTTATAATGAAGTGCAAGATCTTAAAGGTAAGTCGCGAGTGGTTCTTACTTTAGCTGATGTATTGATTTGTCAGGAAGCATACGAGTTTACTGTCGTGTGAGACCCTTACTAAGCGGTGATCTATCACGAAGAACTACAGTGGAGTTCATAGGTGAAAACGGCGATGTAATGATATCAAATCCAAAAAGGCAGGGCAAGGATGCTTGTCGGACTTTCAAGTTTAACAAGGTTTTCAGTACTTCTGCTTCTCAAGGTAGTAAAGCTTCCGTTAAAGTCTTGATGTATAAACTTGATATGTTTGCAGAACAAGTATTCCTGGATACTCAGCCATTGATACGGTCAGTTCTTGATGGTTACAACGTGTGTATTTTTGCGTATGGTCAAACAGGCTCGGGAAAAACGTACACCATGGTATTTATGACATAATTATACAACAACATTATTTGCAACTATTTGCTGTACAGAGTGGTCCTTCAAACGCAACAGAAGATCTCTGGGGCGTCAACTATCGAGCTTTAAACGATCTCTTCTATATATCTCAGAGCAGAAGAAATGTATGTAAATATGATATCGGCGTACAGATGGTTGAAATCTACAACGAACAAATCCGGGACCTCCTTGCTTCAGACGGGCCTACGAAAAAATATCCTTTTTTTTAATGTTCCTGTTTGCTCTGGTTCTCTCCTTTACTACCACACGTTAGAGATTCGAAACAGTTGTCACCAAAACGGTCTCAACGTGCCCAATGCGAGTATGCTGGCTGTAACTTCTACTGTCGACGTTTTGGAACTTATGAAATCTGGGGAGAAAAATCGTGCTATTGGTGCTACAGCTCTAAATGAACGTAGTAGTCGTTCCCACAGGTAAGTTCAAAAAGAGTTGTTCCACACAGTATTGACATGTTTTGTGGTTTTAGTGTTTTGACTATCCATGTTCAGGGTAAAGATCTAGTGACTGGCACTATACTCCGTGGATGTCTGCACCTAATTGATCTTGCGGGAAGCGAGCGGGTTAACAAGTCCGAAGCAACTGGGGACAGATTAAAAGAAGCGCAGCACATCAACAAATCCCTGTCAGCGCTTGGAGATGTCATCTCGGCGTTGAGCCAGAAAAACGGTCATGTTCCTTATCGAAACAGCAAATTGACTCAGTTGTTGCAAGACTCTTTAGGTGAGGTGCTACGAATACAACTGGATGTGCTTCTTACGTATTGCACGTTCTGCAGGCGGCCAAGCCAAAACGCTTATGTTTGTGCATATAAACCCAGACGCGGACTCCTTTGGCGAGACAATGAGCACCTTAAAGTTTGCAGAAAGAGTGGCGTCGATCGAACTTGGAGCTGCTCGCTCTAACAAAGAGACCGGTGAATTACAAGATCTAAAAGAGCAAGTCAGTTCAAAAAAGAGAAACTTCTCTGCTCTAACGACTGTGCTGGTTTGCAGATCATGATTTTGAAGGACTCCTTGTCCAAGAAAGATGCTGACCTTGACAAACTGCTTCTTTTGCGCAATGTAAAGGAATCAACGTTGGCTCTGGAAAAGCAGAGGCACGAGCCTAAGATTAGGAAGCAATTTACGGATACGTTCAAAGCTAGAGAGGTATGCCTCTAGCTTTATTGCAATGATTTTTCATTTACGTTACTTTTATACAGAACTCTCCAGTTCGCGATCGTGCGAGACGCTTATCACCGCCTGGGAACACCTTTGGTTTTGAACTCGACAGAGTATCGTCTCCTTCTAAAGGTGACATGGCCACTGAACAGCAGAAACGAAAGGGTATAAAACCGAAACTGCTGACGTCTCCAAAGCCTCCTTACGAGGATTTTGCGCCGAAGTCACCATACCGAGAAAGATATCACAAGTCCAGGAACTCTCAAAGTAAAACGAGGGGCTCCAGTGTGTTCTTGGTCGAATCACCTCCGTGTTTGGAGGAGAGGCGAAAGTCTCCGGATGTGGATGGATTCATAAATACGGAGGCAGAGCTCTCACGGGACTCCCCGGTTCTGTGCTCTCTGGCGTTCGACCCGGCTGTGGAAGAGCCGAGCATATCTTACAGCACCGCAAACAATGAGCAGTATTCGTGTAACGATCCGAGCTTACCAGCCGTTACTGTTGTTGATCATCAGTCGGCAACGAGTAGTTCAGACTTGAAGGACACATGCTCAGACGTGGTTGTGACGGACATGCCACCCAGTGATTGTGAGGCTGACAAGATCCAAAGAAGCGAGACAGTAGAAGAAAGAGTGGAGACCATATCTGAGACGGTATATGAGACTCAAACACCACAGTTGCAGAGAGTTGACGAGCAGCCGAGAGAAGAAAAACGGTCACAGAATCGGTAAGTAGCTATTCTTTTGCAATGCACAATGCAGTATTTAATCTAAGCTCTCCAGGTCTCGGACTGGTTCTACAAGGAGTCGAAAAGGTCAGTCAGTCTCTTGCGTGCGACGTCGATCCACCATAGTTACCTCGAGAACAGAGCCCCCAATCATCCGGAGGAGCTCAAGCTCAATTCCATGTAAGTTTTCCTTTTACGACCGTCTACTGTTTACGCATTAGCGTAGGCTCAAGCTGATTGTTGTTCCAGTGTCAGCAAGGCATACAACACTTGAATGTCATGGCCATGGAAAGCAAGCATTTTCCCGGCAGCTGCTTTCTATTGAAACTGGAATTTCTCCCAAAGCTTCCAAAAGGTGCACGTTCGTTTTGATTGATTCCGTCCATGCATCAGAAGCTTATAAGCAGTGTACTTTTTTGAACCATGGGTCCTAATCGCTTACGTATCAATGCAGATACCCTTGGATGGTGAAGCAAATCAAGCTTAGTGCGATGATTGCGTGATCGAAGAGAAAGAGCGAGGCCTCTTGAGCAGCGTGATGGTTCTCACTTTTTAAGGTGTCATTTAAGTTCTTTTGCCATTCGTTTTAGTATATGACAGTTTTGCACGGCGTCTGCAGGCGGAGGCCATTTTTCCAGGCAGCTAGGAAGGCATTAATTTTCACGACAAATGTAACATATCTGTACACTGAAAATTCGGAGATGTTAAATGTGAATCTTCACGATTTTGAGTCGGTATGTATGATACATAAGTTTGCTTGGTTGTGTGAGGCTTTGGTAACAACGGCAGAGCCCAAGTCCACTGGCTACACTTATTTGTAAACCAGTGGGCACCCCACTTCTAAGCTCTCACCTTTCCATGCTTCCAGTGAGTGGGCAATCAGATGACTAACTAATTTCAAAAGGTTTTCAATGAGTTAAGCAAACTAAAATTCATACATAATGTAGTTTGTAAGCATTTAATTAAAGAGATAATTAGTTATAAAAGAAACTTCATATTAAACTGTAATACAGATATATAATTAGTTTTAGCGAGATTTAAAATAGATTAGTTTTTTTTGTTTTTCTTAATGTGATCTAAAAAGTTAATTACAATTTTAAAATATAGTTTTCAAAATATTTTATCTATTTTGAAATATTTAAGAGACCCCTTCTAAATTTGATTAACTTGGTTTCGAGTGTGCTCAATTTTTTAAAGTAGCTAATATCATATAAATAATACTACTTATCTTTTCAAACATATTACTTTAAGATAAGTTTTATTTCAAAACTAAATTAGCCATAAAATAAACTTTTTATGAATAAATGATCATATCAGCTTTTAGTAGTACATAATAAGTATATAGAATTGTCACTAGCTATTAAATATATATTGGTATATAAATTTATTTTAAAAAAATTATTGTGCTAATAGGTATCACTTTGTCTTGGTTGATATAATATATCCCAAAGTGAGCAATTATAATATACATAGTTATTCTAATTTAGTTAAATCAATATAAGTTATTGGATAGAATATTTCTTACAATAGAAGCTTTACATATGAACTTTCATATTATTTAGTTTAGCATGCTAATAAGTTTACAAAAGTTTGTAAAAAAAACTCATCTTGACATCTTTATATTATGTGATAAATTCTATAAATATCACACTAAGTTTAGAAGCTTTATAAAAAAAATTTTGAAATAATAAGTTGAATTGCCATGATAAATTAATTAGGTCTTTGTAAGAACTTTGTATCATTTTCTCTTTAATTCTCCCATCCTTATCTATCCAGTAATATCAAAGTATCACAATAACATTATTAGCACCAATATCAAAGTTATTCACTTTTAAAAAAGTAATTTCCTCCATAAATTAATTTTTTTGGAAGGAATTTCGTACATACAATTTAATTTTTTTATTTTTATGTTTTTTTTATTTGCCAATACAACCTTCTAAGCACTTGGATTCATCAATTTTAATTAATCATATACAATCCACTGTATCTGTAAAGATCACAATTACTCATTTAAAATTAATTTGTCATGACCAAAGAAATAAATAAAGTATGTTAAATAAGCAATTTCACCTATCACTTAATGCATTCACTAGTTGGCCACAGCCTAATTATGGATTAAATAAATTAAACACTACACTTATAACACCCAAAATTAAATCAATATTAATAATGTTTAAATTAAAATCTAAATTTTGTCTCTTTTAATATTGGGTTATGGAAATATCGTTTGGACAAGAAAAGCTCAATGATAGGAACTAAACTAAAACTTCATAAGTAATTAATTTTATTAGCTAATTTAATTTATTATATGTACAGCTATGGAACCCTATGGATACAAAATGTTCAGTGATTTCCAGAGATATGATTATAGCTGAAGATGTTGATTGGACTCTATTGAGTGGCTCAAAATTATTTATAGCTTATTTAGAATTCAAGGATATACCAAAGTTCAAGCAAAACAAATGTTTGGACATCAAATTAAAAACAAAACATCCACTAGGAGATATAATAAGATTAATAGAATCAAGCTATCACACAATGATAGGGTATGATGTTACTTATTATACTTAAATCTCATTCTAATAAATAATTGTTATAAGTATTTATATGAATATGACAAAGAAGATCACTGCCACACTTTTAAATTAGTTATACCTCTGAAATCTAAAACTTGGAAACAGTAAGAATCTAATAAATTGTTAAATAGTTTTACATATGGCTAGATTATACATAAATTATAGAGAACACTGTGATTTAGTAGGGATTCTATATCATGGTCAACTTGATCTTATTAGAGATGGATAATCTCTTTTACCATAAAAGCTCTCAATGGAGGTCTTTTATATGATCCAATAGGATCATACACCAAATTAAATTTATAATGATCACATAACTATGGTGGCTAAAAATAAATTTATTAGTGATAGCATATATTGTGATGATTTCATGAGCTTCCAAGACATCAATAACTTATCAAAGAAGTATGCAACTTCATATAGCTATTGGTGTCATCCAAATGATGCTTAAAGCGTTTATATCTAGAAAATCTGCCAATCTAGAAAAAGTGTCTTTCTACCAAGAAAGGGATGGCATTTACATTTTGGAATTTAATCAACTTAGCAGTGTCAGAAAATGATTGAATATGGTTGTAATAGTTTATTTAGTTTGGGTGTTACTTTTGGAACCAACTGTTATAAGGTATAGTTGCAATGGTTAATAATATTTATAATTAATTAACCTGATATAGTTTACATTATATACCATCATTGTTTTCAATAACCACAATAGCAGTATCTCTATTGCTTGGACGAACTTCAAGTGAGAAAGGACATTACATAATACAATGGATGCATGTATTGAAAGATCAAATTTTGGAACAAAATAATATTAGAAGCCAAATGTAGTAATTGTTGATGATGCTGAAGATGAGAGAAATGCTATAAGTATGAATTATTATTATATAATTAATTATAATTTGAAGGCCACATTCAGATGTGAGATCATATTATGTATATATGGCATAGTAAAAGAAACAGGTTGAAGCTTCTAATTTGGAAAGTCAAATCTTTTGAGACTCATATAAGAATGTGGACCAACTTGAGAAGTAATATTCTATACTGTTTGTGGCACTTATTTTGATGTTGGAAAACTACAAGTGGAAGCTATAGAGCTGATTGAAAAGTTTGAAGTTTATGTCAAATATGAAAAAGCTTTTCTAAAATATTTTTGTATTGAATGAAAATACAAAGTTATATCATAATACTCTTGATTTTGAATAATTATTATCAGTGTGGGTTGTACTTGCACAAAACTTTCAACATGCAAATAGCTCAATTAAGGCTTTTCATGCTAATATAAAATATATCCTCTTAACTGAGAAATATAGTAGAAATAGAAGAATGGATTGGGTGAACTAGCTTACAATTGAAGTTTACTCTAAACATTGGTTTATACATTAGTGCAAGATTTATGGTTTTATTCAAAGCCTTAAACAATAAAAACTGATTGACAATGCTATCATAAATGCTCTTTAGATTAGCAACTCTCCAAGTTAATTTTAATGTGAATAAACTTAACTTAACAAGCGTCTCTAACAAGAACAAGAAAGTTGTTATATTCAACCATCACATTTGAATGAAGCATGATATATCCTTACCACAACAAGATATGGAAATACTAAATCTGAAAGAGGTATTATAAAAATCTAAAATAATTATTTAGAATTGAATATCTTTGTTTTGACAGAATGAAGAATTTCTAACACATGAACAATATACATGTGCTAGTGTTGAAGATACATTACATGTATCAGAATCAAGAGTACAAGATGTTAGAGTATAGAAGATGGAATTTACTTAAGTTACCTAAGAGAAACTTTAATTGTTGATGATAAACATGCTTAATAAAATTCCAAATAATGAAGTATTTATAGTTATGCAATGATTTAAAGATTTTGGATAAAAATATTGATACTTTTTAACCTAAACCAGAAGATTTTATTTATCTAGTGAAAAAATTCAAATAATGAGAAGATGGATATAGTACATCCTTAAAGCAAGTTAGACCCTTGGTCAAGAAGATTTATGGGAAAGAAAAAGCTAAAGTATCAATAAATGATACAACTCCCTTTAGTCAACCTAAGAAACTGAGGCATAAAAGTTATTTTCAAGGAGAATCTTATTTAATAATATAATATATAATTTTTTTAGGCTAAATAAAGTTTTATATACTGTTTTATAATGGTAAGAAAAATTTTACACCACTATAAGCTGCAAGTGACTGCCAGGATAAACCAAAATGCTTCACTTAGTATCTTACACTTAGAAAATTTTTGCTCATCAAAAGTGGCTAATACTTAGGCCAGTGGGCATGGTTCATGTAGAAGTTCCCATATACAGGCTTGCCCCTCAACCTATACTATCTTCTTCTCCCCCACCACATTTTGATATATCCTTGGCCACATGAGTTTTAATGTGGCAAAGACAATAAGATTCAACAGGAAACCCAGAATCCCAACCATGAATAGAATCTTAGACAATATATAATGCTCTTCACAACTACTATATTCAATCTACAGCCAAAGCCACCCAAAGTAGCACCATTGTTGATAGTTAATTGAGGCCAGCAGCCATTGCCATAACTTCAGCCACTATCCAAGTTAGATCTAAAAAGTTGAATATACAATTAAATCTATACTATTGATAAAGTGCAAAGGAATTGATTGATAGTGTATCATGGCTTGATCTACAATGAAGTGGGGTTTTTGGCAATCAATCCATTGCAACTTGAGCATAATATATTTCACAAAAATATTGGTGGCAACTGAACCATCAACTCTATTTCTATCACTTCTGAGATTATATGTTTTGTTTTTTATATGAAAGTCATAGTTTATTCTTAACTTGGAAGGTATATATTATTTTTATAAAAAGAAATTCAAAGTCATAAAGTGCTGAAGTCAAAGTCTACTAGTTACTTTATATGACAATATAAATATCCCTATTTACTTCAATATAATATGGCTAAATATAGATTTAAATATTTCGTTTTTCTATTTATTTATTTAAATAGATATGTATTTTCAACTCAGGTATGTTGAAATTTCCATAGGATATAATTAAATAATATTTTTTTATAGTGTAATTATGGAATAAATATAAAAACTGGTTGCAATCATAACGCAGGAACATATGCAAATATTGATATAACACTTAGTTTTTCTTTTGGAACAATTTTAAATTTTCATGATATTGATGATAAAGATGATAATTTTGAAAAATGCCATACTGATTCATTCAATTATCTTAAAAAATGTCCGCTTCCCAAAGAAAGATTGTGTAAAATACATATACAACGAGATAATAATGGATTATACCCTAATTGGTTTATTGAAAGACTTTTAATTTTTAAAGACAACCATTTAATTGCAGAACTAAATATTGAAGCATGGATTAATACCGAGAACGAAGTACTACTATGTTAAATCTGGATCTATTCACTTAAAATATTTTTATAGTGAGTAAATATTTTTATAATATATTAAATATAAAAGGTAAAAATCTACAACTAACTATATCAATTTTACCAATGAAAATGTATTATTTCAATTTTAAATTTTTTATATTTATATATTATCTTCATAAAAAAATATGAATTATCAAAGCTCTTAAAAATTTTAAATTTATTATTCTAACAAATATTAAATTATAGTTTAATTCTAGATATTGCACTATATTTTATATTTTACCTTCTTTATTATGTGCTTGTCCACCTAATCATATTATAAATTTTAAATATATATTAATTTGTAATTGATTTTTTATTTAACAAAAAAAGACTTGACTATAATAAAATACTTATATTAAATATGGTTAAATTTTTTTTATAATACACACTTGTAAGTAAGAAAATTTAACATTGTAAAACTGGTTAGAAATAAATAATTATAATTGAAAAATAGCATAGAAACAATTTTCTAATCACAATAAATGTTTTTTTGTTGCATTTATAGATAGAAATTTCTAAAATAAAATTAAAATAACTTTTATTAATTAAAATATATAGGATAAATTTAAATTGATTTTTTTCAAAAAATATTTTGTTTAGATCCAAACAATACACCTTACTTGATATAGAAAAGTGTGTAAAATAGTTGACCATATTTAATTATAAAATTGGTATAAAAATAATATTTCAGCAAAATATGTTTAAAAGATTCATGAATGAAATGCAGTTTAGAACATATTTATTATTTTTTTTTGAAGCCTTGAAAAATAACAGTTATTGTTTTTTGAACAAATCTTAATAAATTATATGAAAACACATTAATATACTACTGTAAATATTAAAAACTAGTGCAATATATTTACTTTTTTGAATTTTTATAAAGACAAATGGTTAATCTATTACTACTATTATATTATTAATTAATAAAATTTTGGTTCTTAAAAGCAAAAATTGTATAGTATAAATGCTATATAGTACTTCTTTTATTTATATATAGAATAGTTAGAATATATATTGATGATTGAGTTAATCATTTAAACTTAATAAAAATAGTATAATTAGATATTAAATATAGATAAATGGATCCATTCTAGATTATAATTTACTTATGTGTAATTGAAATAATTTGTTGAAGTAATGCTCTTAGTTATGTTTAAATTAACGTTATATTTTGTTTTAACCAAATAAAAGCAAACTAAAAACAATCCCAATATCAGTTATAACATTGAACATATAGGATATGTATTCCTACAAAATCCTGGAGATTAATGAGAATTAAAAATTTATAATTTATTTAGAAATTTTATATTTCAGTTTAAATTTTTAAATTGTGTTAAAATTAGGAGATTAATCTTAACCATTAGATAACAAAGTACTATTCCTCAACATTCCATTCAATAGGAAATTACAGAGGAATCAGTTTAGACCTTTAGTTTTTATTGAGTGTAATCAACTTGGCTGAAGATTTGCTTACGAGATTCGTGCAAGCAACAGGAAATGCCCTCAGGGCTGCAAAAGGAGACAAGCGAACGGGGCCGAGCAGCATCGAATCAGCAGAATTTTCTCGGGATAAAGAAATGGGGGCTGAGAGAGGAACAACAAAAATGGAATTTGGCCGTCCGTTGACAGACCCACCAACGCTGCTGGCCCTGGAAGCTTGTGGCCATCTCTAGATACGCATTCTCTTCAGTACACCACAACTTTTGCCAGCATCTTGCAGCAGGCAGCGGATTTCTCGAAAAAAAAAAAGTGCTAGTTTAAGATCATTGATTTAAGAATTCTTTTCAGAATGTTAGCTCGCGGTTGTTACTTCCATATCGGAGGTTGACAGGGAGGCCAACAAACTAAATTGTCGATTGCGTGCTCCAGACGTTGAGAAATTCCATCCATGAGAAATTCCTCTCAAGCATTTTATAAGATTAAGTAGCTAGCTTTTGGTCAATGCTATGACTGAGGGGGATTGTCTCGAGCAGGAAAATTTCTCAGTGTGGTTGGGTCGGATAGAATTTCTTGCGAGGAGCGAATGATTTTGGGAGCCAGGGTGTGAAGCAAAATCGAAAAGAATATCTCTCAAGTGCTGCCTGACAAACCAAAGTAAAGATTATCTCTCCTTCTGTCTGACTTTAGGCGTTACTGCTTCCCAGGTACGATGGAAAGTGGAAGAGCTCCTTGACAAGAATTTGGAGAGTTCTCATCCATTTATTCTCTGTCTTTCGCAATGCTTGCCTCCTCCAGCTCACAGCACGGTCCAAGCTCCATCCCTGTGACAATTCTCTCCTCCCAACCATCGCTAGTCTCTCAGCCATCCTCCAGCCTCGCCTCCCAGTCAAGCTCGGAGCTCACGACGATCACTTCCGTTAACTCCTTGCCTCCCCGTCCGGCAGAGCCTCTCGCCATCGCCTCTCCATCACTCGAGAGAAAGGACAGCTTTAATTCGCAGCTAAGCTCCCCTTCGAGCAGCAACATCTCGGCCTTCATCTCCTTCGCTAGCTCCTGCCAGTTCCCCGGGATCCAGGGCGCCACCTCCAAGTGCCTCAAGGTTTTGCGCGCCCACCGCGGACATATCACCGCGCTGGCCGTCTCGAGCTCCCGCCGCATCCTCTACACCGCCTCCGGCGCCAGCAGCAGCATCCACGCCTGGAGCATCCCCGATCTGGGCGAGCTCTGCGTTTTCAATGGCGGCGGCGCGGTAAAGTTCTTGCTTGTCGTCGTCGATCCGCCGGGGCTGATCCTGAGCTCCCACCAGGACCACAAGATCCGGGCCTGGAAGATGACAACAACAACGACGTCCAGTTCTTCGTCAAAGGATGATCGCGATCGTCGTCCTCGAAAGTCGACCGTGAAAAAGTTTCGTGCAAAGCACGTCGCCACGGTCCCCACGGTGTGGAACAGGCTCGTCACTTTCATCCCGGCCAGGAACTACGTCAAGATCCGCCGCCATCGCAAGAGCTTGTGGATCCAGCACTCTGACGTGATATCCTGCCTGGCAACCAGCCCCGACGGGAGCCTCATCTTCTCGGCGTCCTGGGACAAAACCTTCAAGGTTTGGCGATCCTCCGACTTCAAATGCCTGGAATCGGTGGAAGCCCACGAAGACGCCATCAATTCCCTGGTATCGTCCTCCTCCGGCTTCCTCTACACTTGCTCCGCGGACGCCAAGATCAAAGCCTGGGAAAGAACATCCGCCATAGCTATGATGACAAGATTCAAGCTTCTCGCTAGATCATCGTCATCGCATAAGCGATGCCGACACGCGCTGCTCGCCACGCTCGAGGGCCACAAGTCGGGAGTGAACGCCATGGTCCTCTCCCCGGACGAGCAGCTGCTCTACTCGGGCTCCTCGGATCGAAAGATCCTGGTGTGGGAGCGGGAGGAGAGCGCCAACCACATGAGCTTGCTGGGGGCGCTGCGCGGGCACAGGCAAGCAGTGCTGTGCCTGGCGGCCATGGGGGACTTCCTATGCAGCGGTTCAGCTGACAAGAGCGTTAGGGTTTGGAGGAAGAGCCCTGGCGGATCTCTACACGCCTGCATTGCGCTGCTCGAGGGTCACTTCGGGCCTGTCAAGGCCCTGGCCGTCGCTCCTCTTCTGAAGTCTTCTTCTCCGGGAAGAGCGGACGTAGAAAATGACCATGGAGCTGCTGGTAGCATTCATGAGTTTGTGGTTTACAGCGGCAGCCTTGACTCGGATGTACGGGTCTGGCTAATTACCCCTGATGAAAACTTCCCCTCGGCCCAGATGACAAATCCACCCCGATTTAAATCCATATGATATGATCGTGACATTTTTTTAAAAAGAATATACTAGCATATGCTACTTCTTTTACAAAACATTTATACACAATTTACATGAATGGCTAGCGCGTTTGACTCCAGATCAGAAGGCTGCATGTTCGAGTCGGTTTTGTTGGAAGGAATTTAGAAGAAATCATATGAAAAACATGACCACGAGCCTTGATTATGTCTTAAGTTGAGATGGCCGAGTTGGTCTAAGGCGCCAGATTAAGGTTCTGGTCCGCAAGGGCGTGGGTTCAAATCCCACTCTCAACAACACATCCATCAACATCGTTTTATCGAGTAACAAGCAAAAGGCCTTTACTTAATAGATATTAACATTTTGGCTTCTAAAAGCACGTCCCACAAAAAAGTTGAAAAATAAAAAGAGAAGGAAAAAAAATCACCTCTTTGTGGTTGATCCTCTCTGCGCTTTTTGTTGGCGCTTTGTTTTGTCACTCGTAAAGTCAAGCTCCATTGGTTTGCGATTGAAGCCGCTGCTTGCAAAGCTTGCCCTCCATGGCGTCCTTCTTGAGCTTGCAAGTCTTGCACAGGAACGGGCCTTCCCAGCTCTCGTCAGGGCTGAGCGAGAAAAAAGAGCCATCGTTCTCGTCATCGCTGCTCACCGTCAGCATCTCCTGGCAGATCGCGCATTTCAACACGCCCTCTCCTCCAGGGGCCGGGAATAATCTACACAAGCGCGAGAAAAGAAACAGTGTTAGCGCCACTATCCCACATGCAAGCGAAACAAAACAAACAAACGCAGAAAAACAAAGTCCATTCTGCCCAACTCCAAAATATAAACGACAACGAACCTGTCGGCGAGCATTGCAGAGCCTTCCTCAAAAATTTCTTCCACTTGTCTTCTGGTGCCAGCCGGCTTGCGCGTCAGCTTCGAGACGTTAAACGAGTGACGAAAGTCGAGGACTTTGAGAATCCTGCTTTGTTTCTTGGCGACTGGGGCAGTGGGCCTCACTGGCGGTGGTACAATATCCACGACCAAGCAAGTCGTATCGTCGCGTAAGCCCCTGCTGCGCAGCGCCTCCTAGACAAAGTTTGTTTGTTTCCAGCAGAGAAAGTTTAGATCTCTATCGGAGAAAAAACCAAACGACAGCACCTTCACAATCTGCTTGGCTGCAATCTCCGGGGGTAAACCCCGAGCGTATTTGGCGGCTTGCTCAGAGTTCAAGGCATCCCAAACGCCGTCTGTGGCGATGATCAGCCTCCCGCCAGAAGCAGGTACCTGCAAGGGAGCGGCAAACGCCGTGCATTGGAACAGAGAAAAGGATATGAGGAACTCTACCTTGATTTGTTTCACGTATGGCACAGGGACAATAAACTCCCCGACGTCCATGTCACCAATGGACCTCGAAAGACAAAGCCCTCCCGGCCAACATCTCAATGGCCCAACCTATAGAGCTCAATCATTCAGTCCTGTCAGAGAAAAACACAAAAGAGCTTAAGTCACCTCGGCACCAGCTGCAGTGCTCAATCTCCCGACCTCACCACCACTAGCTGTGACTCGAACCCGCCTACGGCGTTTTAACGCGAAAGCATCAGCTACAGTACTCCAACAGGTAGCAAACTTACTCTTCTTCGTTTACTTCGAGACGGTGATCCACGGTCAGTGTTATGACAGCTCCCTCCGAGTCCAAGATGCAGCGCGAATCCCCGACCGAGGCAGCAGTGACTGTCAATCCATCGATAACCACGAACGTCGCAGTGGTGCCCGAGGATTGCTCTAGAGAAAGAAAACGAGCATCAGTTCCTGAAACCATGTCCAAGTTATAGACTACCTCTTCTTTGGAACTCCTTATCGGCCTTCACGAATCCAGCGACAAGAGCCCGAGGGAGAAGGGCTAGCCATTCCTCCCTGCTTAGCCCGGAAGGAACAGCGCCCATCACGTCGTTCACCAGGTTCTCCTTCGAGTAAATCGCCGCCGCGGCTCCATTGTGTCCGTCAAAAATCTGGTAGAAAGACTCCGTCAGGAAAAAAGAGAGAAGAAAAAACTCCGTCCCCATTTTGAGTAGAGCTACTCACCGCAAAAACTCCAAATGTGGATGATCCATCGCCGGGAACTCTCTGGCAATCGGTCTTGACAAGCACGAAATCCTCCCCCTTTTTGGACTGTGCCGCATGGCCATACTGCAACACGGGTCTCTCGACCCTCTCCGGCCTCACTTCTCTGCTTAGCAAGTGAATCAGAGACATGCTATCGGCCCTCTGGATGAGCGCTTCCCCCTGCCGTGTGGATTTCCGGGGCGGCGCCTCTGCATCGGCAGTCATCTTGCTCGCTTCCACCCCAAATCACTACAACCTGAGCTTATAATCCCGATTGCAAGCCCGGAGCGCCTGCATTGCGCCGAATCGCCACCGCGAGAGTGATTTCCGACGAAATCCCGCAAGAGAAGATACGCAAACGCTCTCCCACCTCAAAAGCACCGCGCTTCTAGCTCGAGCTCCACCACGATCAGCTAGCTCCTTCCTAGAAACCCTAGCTCGCAGCGTCCCAGACCAACGGCCAAGATCGCTTGGACGCCCAGATGGCAAAGACTGACACGTCAGAAAAGAGCGCCTTCGTGGCACGTCAAAGCCGTTAGCGCGGGCCCCGCCACGTCACGCGGGCATGCCACGTCAGGTCAGTTATACGAGCCCGACGCGTGGGGCCATTTCTACGGTCTTTGCAATAATGTGGCCAGTTGGATGAGTATAACTGGAAAAATCGGGAATTTACAAGCTAGAGCTCTAAGATTCTTCCAAGATTCCATCCCATTCTTTCGAGCCTTTTCTATCCTTCCTGTCGTGGCGTTCAAGGAAAAAGACATTGCAGGTCGTATGATCTTTGATTGAAACACACCACCAAACGAGTTAGAACTTACAGCTAAGATCACCAATCAATCGATCGGCCATAGATTGATATATAGATGGATCTCTGATCATGGGTGATCCAAGCTTGTAGATCCACTGCTAAATCAAATGCTTCTGGTGGAGCCAACCATCTCCCAAAAAGAAAGCCTGTGGCAAAGTTTTTAGTGTGAGGGACAACAAGACAAGCACTTTGGGTCAATCTAAATGGATTTCCATGCATGTGCCCGCCAGAGAATCTGGGATGAGTTTCTTAATCAATCACTCGCGAAAATGCTATGCCCAAAGCGGGGGTGGACCAAATGGCCAAATGTCATGAAATCATTCACAACATCATGAAACCAACGTAATGAACCCGGCGTGACTCGAACACGCAGCCTTCTGATCTGGAGTCAGACGCGCTACCATTGCGCCACGGATCCTGATGTGCTGCAAAGTGTGGATTTCAAACGAAAGAGGCTCAGATCTATATGATGTTGTCAAACCCACGCTGACGCTGTAGTGTTGACTAGCATTGACTTTAAAGGGTTCCCGCCTAAACATTTCCTCCATTTTTTCTGCATTTACAAGCATTTTTCTCGTTTTTATTTGTCTATCTACAAGTTAGTCCGTCCCGCCTTTCCCATCACCTTGGAGTCAGCAAGCTCTGGAAGAACAAAAACGCAAAATCACCATCATCAACAGAGCAAAGAACAGAGATCTTTACCTCATCAATCTTGATGTCCCGGATGGGCGAGTGATCCCCGGGCGAGAGGCACGAATGCCGGATCCCCTCCACTTCGTCAAAAACCTCCGCCATGCTCGGCCTCGCGTCCTTCTCGTGCGCCAGGCACCGAAACGCGAGCTCCGCCATCCTCTGGATCATACACCTCACCACCGGGTTCCTGCACGCCTGGATCATGAGCGCCGGGTCAATGATCTCATCCAGGCAGTCGGTGGCGATCTTGCCGACCGCCAGCGCCGCCAGGTTGACCTCCCGCTTGTCGCGCGTGAAGTCAACCACCTTCATGCTAGTGATCATCTCCACCAGCACCACCCCGAAGCTGTACACGTCACTCTTGTCGGACAGCTGGAAGCTCTGGTGGTAGTCCGGGTCCACGTACCCGGGCGTGCCTTGCGGCGCGGTGGACACGTGGCTGGCCTCGGTCAGCGCCGTCCGCGACAGCCCAAAGTCGCCAACTTTCGTGTTGAACTCACCGTCCAGGAGAATGTTCGTTGACTTTACGTCGCGGTGGTAAATCGGCGGCGAGCGCGAGTGGAGATACGCGATGCCCTGTGCCGCCTCCGCCGCGATCGCCACCCGGGTGAACCAGTCGAGCCCATCGCCGCGCTCCCGCTGGAGGTGCTCCGCCAGCGTCCCATTGGGGACGAACTCGTAGACGAGGAGCGGATCATAGACCTCGAGGCAGCAGCCGAGGAGCTGGACGAGATTGGGGTGGCTGACGCTCAGTAAAACTTTCACCTCGTTGAGAACTTGCTCGATCCCGTGGGAGCTTATGTGATTGATGCGCTTCACCGCGACGTCGCGGCCGTCCGGGAGCTTGCCCTTGTAGACGGTGCCGTGACCGCCATGGCCGAGCATCTGGGCCGGGGAGAAGTCCTTGGTGGCGCGCTCCAGGTCCTTGTAGGAGAAGAGGGTGACAGCCTTGGAGCTGCCGGTGCGCGAGACGAGCTTGGCGAGCTGCTTGGCGTCGCGCATGCTGCGGAAGGTGGTGGACAGGCGGCGGCGGTGATGACGCGAGCGGGCGGCGAGCAGCGCCAGCGCGATCACCACCGCTGCTAGAACTGTAGCTCCCGCGAGAATCCCTGTTTCAAGCTCCAACAGTCAGCTCTCTCGATCGTGCATGGATGGACGCTCAACCAAGAAGATCAACGAGATCAAAGAAGACCTTGGAAGATCGTGCGTGTGCATGCATGAGCTCAGCCAAGACCAACACATACAATCCATAGAACGATCTAAAGATCGAACGTAACTTACCCGCAAACATGATCGATCCTCGCACGACCTTGGAATGCCGCCGGCCATCTACATAGAACACACGACACAACCAACATTAGCGTACCGCACGGCTTCCAACATACCTGGGCGGCACCCCGCGCGGTAAGGGTCCCCGTGGAACTTCTCCTCACACCTACACGTATGCCCTCCAAACGTCCCCGCCACACACATTGCATTCCTGGCGCACAAACTCCCCTCCGCCGCCGCCACCCCCGCCGCCGGGCAGGTACCATTGAGCCACCACTCGAGCCCCAATCCCTCCCTGGCCTCCACGCTCACATCCTCGCCCTTCTCCTTGAAAGTAGTCACCAGGCTCGAGAAGCCCGAGCAATTGAAGCTGCCCAGGTCGATGTCGCGCAGCGCGGTAAGGCTGGCGAACTGGAGGTCGTAGCAGCACTGCGGCGTCACGCCGCAGCCGTGCTGCCCGCCGGCGGCGTACGGCCAGTGTACCGCGCGGCTGTTGAAGTTGCAGTTGTTGTAGCACGCGGTGTTGTTCGTACAGCCGTAGAGCATGAGGAGGTTCCCAAAGGAGAGGGCGTAGTTTGTGTTGTTGGAGATCGTGAAGGAGGAGGAAAGGGCGGTAGCGGCGGAGGCCGGGGCGGTAGCTGCGCCGCCAACGCCGCCGCCACCGCCACCGCCACCGCCGCATCCCTGTGGGTCGATGATGATCACGTTGCTGCGAGTGAAGCCCAGGACGCGGTAGCTGGCGGCGCTGATCTTGAGCTTGAGCGTGCCGTGCTCGCAATGGAGCTTGAGGTGCCCGCAGGAGTGATGCGATGGAGGAGGCGAGCTGGGAGCGATGAAGAAGGGATAGGGCACTGTGGTGTTGCCGCAGCGATAGACGCAATCTGGTGATGCTTGCGCTTCCTCCGCCCGCGGCGATCCTTGGATTGGAATGGCGAGCGAGATCCAGAGAAAGGGAAGAACCAGCGGATGAAAATGGATTCTTCTTCTTCGTCTTCTTCTTCCACTCCCCGAGTAAGCCATTCCCTCCTGCGATCAAGCAATGCGATCCAGCATTTTCCCTGTGGCTGCCGATTAGATCCAAAACCTGGAACCCACTCGAGGAATCCGCGGCGCGGACGATCCCAGGAGCGCCCACTAGGCGATTGCAGCCACCCAATTGAGAGATCGATGCGAGCTCTTCGTCGCTTCTGGTGGGCGCGCGAGGGCGGTGAGAGGAGTGAATCGAATTGATTGAGAGATGGGAGGAGAGGACGGAGGCCCGGATGAATCCCGGCTGGATTTTGCCTGGAACCCGTGACAAGACTGAAGAGGAGGAGGGGGCCGAGAAAGTGGTCTTTAGATAGACCAATGCGGGAAGAACACACACACAGAGGAAAAGAAAGGAGGAGAAAACAAAAGAGAAGGGAAAGAAAGAGATGGGATGGGGGAGATTTCAAAGGCGCGCTTGAATGAGATAGAGACCAGCTCTACACAGGACCCTGCGACTACTGCGCACCGCGAATTAAATGCTCCCTCTCTTCTTCTCCAAAAGCGAGCGAGCGAGCGACTTACGATTGGATCTGGGGCCGAGCGCTCCACAAATGCGGCCGATCGAATCACACTCCGTCGTTCGAATCCCCCACGAAATTCCTGGATCAATCACCCGCGAAAAAAGCTCTTTAAAAAAAGCGAAGAAAAGAGCGATTTTTGCTTACCCGATGATCGCGAAGTCGCGAGAAATCTCGTCGCTTGGGGGGGACCTAAACACAAACCAACCAGTGCGTGAATTGAATGAATGAATGGAGGCAGTAGCTCGCAACGCAAGTGCCTGCCTTTAATGGCGGCTTGCCAGGCGCAGTTAATGAAGGGTCAACCCACCGTCTTTGCTCGTTCGGCTTTACGGTACGAGCTTACGTGCTCTCGCTCGTCTTCCATTTGTGTTTGGCTATGGTGGCGCTCGTCGTTCTCGTTTGGCTGCGTAGCATTGCGGGCGAGCTACAAAGAGAAAAAAAAAACGTTTTTTTTTTGTCAAACTCAAGAACGTGATAAAACACGGTTCTTCTCGGACTTTTTGGAAGCTTACTGACTTGGAAGTGTTTCTTTTTTTGCGCGATCCAGCTGCGCTTGCTTTTTCTTTTCCCCGCTGCCAGTTCCATTTGCAAATCCCCGCTGCGCAGCAAATTCCACGCCCGCGAGGAATCTCCTTCACAAGTTGATGAGGATTGGTTCAGGAAGATTCAATCCCTGGACAGTGATGTGGAAGGAAAGAATAGAAAAGGCGAGAAGCTTACTGTGTATGTTGTTTAAGCCTGAGCACGCTTGTGCGATTCCAGAGGATGCGTCTACATTCGGTGTGATCCCCGACACCTCAAGCTCCATGCGCTGTAGAGCCTTGTTTGTTTGATCCCTCCCTGTCAATCAACATCTCCCGTGTCAGATTCTCCGCAAGGAAATGCCTCGTCGATCATTGCTTGTGGATCCTTAAGTGCAAAAATAATATACTTCTTAAGGTACTTGCGATCGAGGAACAGTAGCTCGCTTTTTTCCAGCTGAGGTGCCGCTCACGCAGAGCCACAGTTACAACTTAACGTCGAATCTCCTGCAGAAATCGACCAACAAACAAGTGAATCGCGAATTCCATCCGAATAAAATCCACCGCCAACAAACCACCGCTGCCTTGTCTTGGCCGGAATTAATTTCTTGAGCGACTTTCAAACGACGCAGCCGTTTTTGCGCTCGTTCAGGGATATTTCGTCACAGCAGGACCAGTTGCTCCTCTCGAAGCTGGCATTGCCTTAAAAACAGCGATTTCTAAGAACATAAGAAAGTGTGATGTCAGGGAGCATATACGGTTGACACTCGCTCACCACAGGTTCCAACCAAAGTTGAGTGGAAATTCGAAGCATGATCTATCGTGCTCTTAGATCGGGATTCCTGGACTCACACAATACTAGCTGTGTCAAGAACCATCCAGAGCTGATAAAACCACAGAGAGAGACTTACTGAGACATCTCATGGAGCTGAAAGACAAGCTCTTCTTCTCAAAGCTGGGATTGCCTTAAAACAGAGTCCTGGAATCCAAGCACACTGGGAGCATCAAAGATAAAACTACAAGGACTTTACTGAGACATCTTTCTTGGAGCTTCGTCACAGAAATCCGGCATTGCCTTAAAACTGCGAATCCAAGAACAGCGTCAAAAACTATCCAGAGCTGATCGACTTACCCCGCGACCGACATGGCACAATCCATGAGTTCCACAGAGCAATCTTGAGAGCTTCCTAGATACCTACATTTTCGATAGCTTCGCTTTCCAGTTCCCAGGGTTTAAATGGTTTCGACTTTCCTATTTTTTTGCCTCCAGCTTATGGTGGACGTTTTGCAGGGATTTAAAGTTCTCGAGGTTTAGGCTTGTTCAGCAAGGAACCATGCATTTCAAGGAGCTGCTCAGGGCGCTGTGGAGCGATCGCGAGGTGTTTGCCACCGGAGGTGAGATCGATGGCAGCTCGTTCCAGATGCCATCGTCGCTGCTCGTCGAAGGCGTCGGTAATGTCGAGCTTCCTCTCTCGCAAGAGGGTCTTGACAAGCTCAAGGCCGTGTCCCAGCAAGCCCCTTACGGACTTGGAGAGAGGACTGTGGTGGACACGGACGTGAGACGAGCATGGCAGATCAATCCCGGTCGAATCTCCTGCCCCGAAAATCCAAGGTTCTTTTCTTCTGTGGCTCAAGAACTCGCCGCCGCTGGGCTGGCCGCCATGGGACTCGACTCCAAAGCTCTGGAGCTCGACGCTAGGCTCTACAAGCTCCTCCTCTACGAAGCTGGCGGCCACTTCAAGTTCCACAGGGACACGGAGAAAGAGGGTGGCATGTTTGCGACGATGATCGTCCAGCTCCCTACGGCGTCTGGCCACACCGGAGGGGCTCTCACGGTTCGCCAGGGAAGGCAGTGCTCCAGGTTTGATTTCTCCGAGGGGAGCTCCGGCCGCTGCTTCTCGACGATTTTCTTTTGCGACTGCGAGCACCAGCTTGAGAAGGTGGCCAGTGGATCGAGGCTGTGCCTGGTGTTTAGCCTGGTGAGGAACAACGTCGACTTCATACCGGCAGGGACGGTCCCCTCGTTCGTCTCCGCGTTGCCTCGAGTTAGAGCTCTTCTCCAGCAGTGGGCCGAGAGTGGAGATGGAGCAGCAGCCGAGAGTGGAGATGGAGCAGCTATGATAACGCAGCAAGACTACCGCCAACGAAATGAGAGACGTTTCGTTCGTGACAGGAAGCTTTTGGTGATTCCGCTGGCTCACAAGTACTCGAAGACGAGTCTCTCTTTCGCCGGGCTCAAGGGACACGACCGAGTGGTGGCAGCACTGGTGAGAGCTTGCGAGTTCCTGGATCTCCATCTGTGCATGCTCACCAAGCACAAGACCGTGACGGATTACTTCCAGAACGAGTACGTGATCGATAACTGGCTCTCCATCGACGACCAGCCGGCCAAGTTCAAGCAGTGGCACATCGATTTCACGCGGCAGGTTCTCAGGTGTGCTCCACCGCCCGCAGGGATGATCATGGAGGACGAAGAGGCCGAGGGCGAGGTTGAAGACCAGAGGAACGAGCGGGACGTGTTTGATTTCATCGAGGACGAGTTCCGCGGCACGGAGATGATGGCGGGCAACGAGGGTGGCAGCGAGCAGTACTTTTACCACGTCGCGGCGCTGGTGGTGTGGCCAAAGGTGGCGAGGAGCTCGACGATCTGCCCGTCGCTCGGGGACATCTCTTGGGTGCTCGAGTGGCTGCGGGAGATTTACGGGGACGAGTTCGCAGCTATGGAGGAGCCCCGGAGGTTCTTGGAAGAGGCAGTGGACGGGTTAACGCGGAAGTTCGCTTCGGTTGCTCCGTGGGGTCAAACGAGGCAGAACGACATGCACTGGCGACTGGCAAGGAACATGAGCAAGAATTTCCAGGAACTCTATCGAGAGCCCGCGATGCTGCTCGAGCTGTGCGTGAAGTCGGGGCTTCGCGAGTCGGCCTTTGCGATCCTCAGGACCTGGGTGGCGGAGCTGATCAGTCTCGACGAGTTTGCGAGAGCAGTGCATGCCTACGGCTGGGAGGCGTGCCGAGAGATCGTGGAGACGGCGCTCGTCGGCGTGTTTCACAGTGGATTCCTTCCGTGGAAGCTGCACCGCTGCGGATGCAACGACGGGGCGGTCGCGGCTGCCAAGCTGCTCTGCCGGAGCGTCGCCACCTCGGAACAGCCGCAGTACGGGCCAGCGCCATGGCAATCCATGGTCCGCCGCTTTGGCAGGGATAGCCAGGGGTTCCAGCCGGAAGGTGGTGTCCAGAGCCTGCTCGACTTTTGCCTCACCAACGGGCTCCGCGACGAGGCCTCCCAGATCCTTGGAAAGGTCCCCCTGGCGGTGCTGAGCTTCCGGATGATGGCTATGGTGGTGCACCACTTCCCGGAGCGCATGAAGGAGGTGGAGGTCCTGTGGGAGGAGCAGAGGGTGGCGGTAAGCTCCAGTGATCCATCATCCCGCGATGCAAAGGCGAGCGAGATGAGGTTCATCGGTGGGATTCTCGAGTTCGCGCTGCAGCTGGAAGCTCTGGGACATCTGGAAGCGGCGCGGGCATTTGCGGCAAAGTCTTTGCAGCTGCCCGGCTTCCCAGAGAAGGCGGAGCAATACCAGCCCTGGCGGCAGTGGCTCGATGAACCCGACGTCATGCTGCTCATGCTGCTCGACAAGCCTGAGAACTTACGTGTGAGAACCAGCGAGCACTGTCGCGGTGAGGTGGTCAGGGCGATGCTAAGAGCTGGGCGATTGATGGGCTTGAAGGACAAGGCGGAGATGAAGCGGCTGTTTTGCGAGCTCTGCAAGGTGGAGCTTGCAGAGGTGATGGACAAGGCGGAGCTGAATTCCTGGGCCGGGGATCCATCGCCCCTCAATCAGAAGGGCGAGAAGATCAGGCAGTTCACGACGTGGAAGAATTACATGACTTGGGCGGAGCAAAAGGAGTTCCTGGAGATGGCGCTGTTTTGGCTCGAGGACGAGGGAGTGCTCGACAGGGTGGTGGAGCTGGCGAGCAAGAGGATGAATATGGTGAAGAGGATGGTGGAGGAGGGATTTGTGGAGAAAGCGATCGCGAGCGGGATGGTTGGATCGAGGCACGCGATGAGGAGGCTTGTGGAGGCGAGGATGGAGTACCTGGCGAGGGAGCCGAGCATGGACGATGTGGAGGGGGATTTCCTGCCGCCGGCGTCCAAGGTGATGAGGATCTGTGGCGCGGTGGATGCGCGGCAGCTCGAGGATAATCCGCGGCAGCTGCGCCGGGCGCACGAGATTGTGGTGGAGAAGTGGAGGGCGATTTGCAAGGATGAGATGGAGTCGCTTCGAGCCTTGAGAGAAATCCTTTGATCTAAATTTTAGGGTTCTTGTTGATTTCTCGCTTCGTGATCAGGCCGTCCACGTGGCCGCATCGATGCCGGGCATTTTGAATGCAGCTGACGTGTCAAGGTTTTGCGCCTTAAACCGTGATGACGTGTGTATGTTAAACACGATGACGTGTGAAAGAATATGCGTTATAGGATCTTAGCTTTATGCCCTTATCATTTATGGAGGTGGGAGTGGAATGGGCGAAAGGCTTGAGTCAATACTCATGTTTAAATCCTCGCCATAGTACGCTGGGATTTGGAGCTCGCCATAGTACGCTGGGATTTGGAGCTCTCAAAGCGGACAGGAAAGTTATAAGTACCAGAAGTAGAAATTTTCATGCCAGGGTTGCGAGTGGAGAATCTCAAGGTAAATTTTCACTCGTATAGAAATTCTAGAAAGCTTTCTTTCACAATCGTTCAGTGGGGGAAGTGGATAGCAAAGTCGAGGAGAGCGTTCTGGTGCTAAAGGCCGCTGCCAAGAGCAAGAAAATCCCAGCTCCAGAGGTGTTTGCGGCATTTAGAGTTTTGGAGAAAGCCCGCGTGGATCCATCCAATTTTCTAGAGACTTTGGGAGGAAGTAGTGGAGCTGAGCCAAGGTGCTGGATGCTTGTCTTCATTTGTGGAGCCAAAGCGGTAAGCAAACTTGTCACAAATCTAGAACTTTGCTCTTAATTTTTGCTTTCGATTTGAAGGTGAGAGAAGCTTTGAAAGGTGGTGGTGGAGGTGGCACATACTTCCCATTCACCGCTGTGCAGCAATACAATGCCACTGTAAGTTTCCAAAAGCTTTCACAAGGATTCGTCGTTAACAATGTGGATCATCGCAGACAAAGAGCATACTAAACGGGCTCTACCTCGGCCCTCTTGGTGTGCTAGAATTCATGGGACGCTTCTCATGGTCCAAGAACAAGCTCTTCTTCATCTTCGATTCCCTGAGCGTCAAGGTTGGGCCTCTCGGCCCCTTCCAATTCGCGATCAGCAAGAAAGAAGAGCTGGATCGAGAGCCCGGGAACAAAGATCCTTTCTTCATCTGGTTCTACGCGGACGAAGAAATCGTCGTTGGAAAGGGGTCAGGAGGAGGCATTTTTCTGAGGGTGCGTTGCAATCGAAGAGTTTGAACCTCAGCCGCTAGATCAGAAACTGCAAATCTCAGGCGTTGGTTTTAATCGCATCGTGGCCGTCTGTTTTGAACCTGGCATCGACGGCCATGATGGGCGGGAGACGGACGGCCAAGATATGCGGAGGAAGAATCCTAAACCTGGGTTTTGAAGCTGAAGAACCCTAAGAAAAAGAGCGGGGTGGAGGAATGCTCGAGGCGAGCGCGTTGCCAGGTATGGATGTGGATCCACAGCCACAGCCAGCGCAGTCGTACCAGGCAGTGCGCCTGGCGCTGGCCGTTGCGATCGTCAAGTCCCGCGGCGGGGCGGATCGCGGTGGCATTGCGGCCAAGAAGCGGCTCAAGGATGAAATTTCGCTGCTCCGGAGCGAGATCGAGAGGTTGCGCTCCAGCTCCGCGGAGCCGCTGGTGCCGCGCGTCCTGTGCAAGTGCTTCACGGATTCTTCCACTCCGCCTCCTCGCCGGCAGCGAAATATCCTGGCGCAACCGGAGTTCCACGAGGAATCTGTCGCTCGCCTCATGGACTGCGTCCGATTCCTCAATGGCTGCAAGAAACGCCGCCTCCTCGATGCCGGCAACCAAGAACAGGACGAAGAGAGGGCTCGTCGTTTGACGGAGATGGCGAATCTCATCGTCGAGCTCGTGTCAAGTACGAACGTCCAGCTTTTCTCCGTGTGGCTCCACCAGGCTGTGGATTTCTTTGAGAGCTGCGTCTCCAGCATTGGCGGCGAGAGATTCTCCACGGCGGCCCAGAGCGCCACGAAGAGATTGGTTGGGAGCCTCGTCGGCAAGGTGATGAGCTTCACGGACTCGGCAGAGAAATCCAAGGACGAGGCTCTCAAGCTCGATCACAGGCCTTTCATCGAGAAGGTCCTCCTCCACCTCGCCGAAGTTCCTTGTATCGGCCACAGGATCCTGACCGACGTATCTGGCCAGCTCGCAGTCATCGCCGAGGCGCTGTCGCAGGCGAGAGATCCATTCGCGGAGGAGACCACCCAGCTGCTCGAGAATTCCTACTTTCTTCTCGAGCTCATCTCGAAGGTGCTGGATTTTCCCTTCACTGGCTGGCTGGAAAAGTCGAAGCTGGATCCCGACTTGCTGGAAGAATTCGTGGCGGAGTTCTTCCGGACCAAGGAGGCCACGCTCCGATCCAACCGGCTAAACTTCCTCTTCGTCGCCTACACAGATCGGATCTGTGCTCAGGTGGTGAAGCAGCTCCACTCGGTCTCGTCAAGTCCACAGTGCAAGGACGTGAAGCTGCAAAAGATCGTCGCCAGCTCTCTCCAGCGTCTCCTGGATCTGGCCTCGTTGAGCTTCCACAGTGGTAAGAAAGAGCTTAGAGCTCTCTTCTTAGGTCTAACGCCACTATCATTTCTTCAGCGAAGCGATCGAACCAATGAAGCATCGCAGCCTTTCTCACGTAACTCCCACGATTTTGATTCCTAGTAAAAGCGATCGAATACCATTGTTTCTTCACGATCTCGTCAGCATTGGGTAAGCGTCTCTATTCTTTCATCTCCAATACAGTTGTTCTTTTATTTGTCTAGGACGAATAGCAACTGTTTTCACTTTGAATCCAGACAGGTCTGTATCAAGGTTGAACTAGGGTTTGCATTGTCACTCTATTGCCTAGTGTACATATCAAAGGAATTGCAATATCAGTTGCAATATTTGGTATGCTCAACTCAAGCACCTTCGATTCCCATCGGCTTTAGCTCTTTTGAGAAGATCTCAATTTTCCAAGTTGATAGTAAAGATGAGAGGGTTCCATGACCAAGAAAGTGGTGTGATCCACTTAATTATCTTGTGAAGATTAGTTCATGGGTAGGGAGAGTTTGGGGAGTGTGTTCTGGTGGGATGGAGGCAATACATGGCAAATACATGCCCATTAATAGCAAGCATAAACCATGTTTGTGTGATATAAGCAATAATACAAGTTGTTTATACATGTTTGCCTATGAAGAAGAGGTTAAAGGTTTCAGTAATATGGCAAGTCAAGCATACTCCTAATGAGCAAATACATGCCCTTTGACAATAGGAATAAGCTAGTTAAGTGACACATAATTGAACTAATAGAAGTTCAAAAGAACATAGCCCATGTGCTTGTTGTGACTGATTGTAGCGCACGTGGTTTTGACCCTTTATCCTATGGTGATTTACTAATGAAGCGGAACCTAAACCCTCTTTGTGCCACATGACAGATGCCACGTGTCACATGCCACGTGTCCATAGGAACCTGAGGTTCAGGGCCTTGGACCACTGAACGAAGGAACGGTGCCAAACTCCCAAGCATGGAGCTAAGGAGTGATGGAACCGAACCACGGAGCAACTCCTGAGCATAAAGCCCAAGGAGCGAAGGGACAGGGGCCCGGAGCGACTTGGAACAGTCCTAGAGTAACCAGCATCCCAATGCCAAGACTAGCACGCAAAACGGAGCCAAACGGAGTCTGGCGCTATTTCGGCATACCGGTGGCCTAACGCAAGGATATGGGTACTCCACCAGCTAGCATGGAATGGAACTTGGGCTTAGACCCAAGCCAGACGCAGAACAAGGACAGGCACGCAAGCGGGAGCTAGACTATGCCTCAGGTTGGTCGGCCATGCCCGACCTACCCACTATCCCTACAATACATTTGGAACCCCCCACAGCCCCCCCCCCCCCCCCTCTTGAGGAACACACGCTTTGGGCTTTCACCCCAAGCCTCCCTTAGTATTAAGAGTTAGTCTCTGGGACAAGCTCGAAACTTACTAAATATGGAATGTCCCTAGATTGCGAATTTGGACATGGGACGAACACCATTGTATTCAGGACGATCTCTACATTCCGTAGATATGCCAAATGAGCAAATCTGGACACTTTCCATAATTAGCATTTGGGACCGAAATGAGACTAACACAAAGGGCATGATAGCAAGGGTGTTTGGCAGACACGGTAAGCTATCATCCGGCGATATTGAGGGACCAATCTCAATACGCGAGGGTTCTTGCCAAGCCAGTGCAAGACAGAGCAAAAGAGAACTAAGAGCCAGGCCAAGTATGCTCAGCTAGAAACACATAGGAGTTCCTACCTTATGTCCATCTGGCTAAGTACAGGTGCTAAGCCCAGTAAACTAACACTTGAACAAGAGGGACTGATAAAGGGAACCAGCAATACCGACCTCCTGCCATCGTGGCAGTAAGGTAAGAGTGTCCGTAAGGACTAGCCGACAGGTAACTTTCGATACCCGAAGTCACATTCGCGACACTCTCCCCCCCTAGGGAAGATCGACGTCCTCGTCGATGCATACTCGAGTCTAGAATACCGCCAAGGAAACAACTCCAGAAAAAGTTCACGGTACTCACACTATGTGAGAAATGCACCAACTTAAATGAGTTAGGGGGCAACCTCTTTGTCTAACGCGGATGCGCTACCAGCTCAGACACCTTCCGGCCGTCGCCGACAAAGAAATGACCAACGGAGTCAACCACCCTTGCTGCTCTGGGAGTCACCCAGCTTACAAAAGTGTGATACGCCCCTGCCCGCAGGGACATAGAGAGAGAAGCTAAAGGCCCCAACCCTCCTGAGCAAAGAAACCAAACCCGTCGGTAAGGTTTAGATAGACTACTGTAAACAGGCAGTTAGAGTTGTTTACACGGTCACGCCCTTTTAACGGAATAAGGAACATCGACAGAGAGGCGGGTTATGTGACCAGTCGACAGTAGCTACCCCATGACTAGAGATTTCAACATGCACATGAAGTGCCGAAGCCAGTCTACCTATACTGACCCAAACTCAAAGATCAATAGATGGACAATATCAAAGTCATAGACAATGATATCTTAGAGTCTTAATTATCAGTGAATAAATCTTATATTAGAACACAAATGTATTCCAAGTAAGTTATCATCTGATAAACCAGTATTATAGTAGATAGGAACCACCAAGATCATCAAAATTGGTAAACACAGAATGCACCATCCAACAAAATTCAATAGCTAGTATATCATCAAGGAAACTCAATGATGAAACTTAACTACCGAAGATGGCAGATAGTATTCCAAGTAACTTACTAAAGATAACTCATAGCACATAAAGGATCATCGACTAGCAAGCAAAATGCTCGCGAATGTATCACTCGAAGGAAATAACATTCGAATCTATCAAAGTGAACTCAAGCAATAATCAACAGAACAGAATGAATGTTCCATGGCTAACAAACACTCGTTCATGCCAACTATCACACTAGCCAATCTGAATAGACCCCGGTCAACAATACCAAGGAACCAGAGTTGCTCTAGCAAGTGTCAGCAACATCCTATCAATGTCTCAAACCCAAGAGACCAATCCAGAGCAAACCACAAAGAATATGTGGTATTGCGAAAAGCCAAAAGCTATCAAAGAGAACAACTAACCATCATGAAAGATCATTAATCATCCCATCAAAAAGATATGCCAAATCATCGTCAAGCAAGAATCTACCATCCCGAAGAATAGCAAATAATTCCAGACCAACAATAATCAAGCAAAACTTTTGATAAGGATAATCAACTACCCTAGATGATAGTCAATCATCACCAATGATTGCCATATACAAATACCAACTTCAACATCGAAGCTAACAAGCCAAAATGCCTTCCCCAACAACTCTTAACAAATGGAACAATGAGCATAAAATTCAAAGAACTAAAAGCTCGAAGAAGCCTATAGCCAAGTCGTGCCTAGCAATGATCACAAGTTTTGCATGAACTAACTTCAATGCTAAAGAAGAAATCATGGTGCAACCCACAATATCTTCCTCAACAGATCCATAAGCTAGACTTCATAATGCCAAAGCTAATGAAGAGCATATCTGCATCAATCCAAAAGTTAAGCATAATGAAGCTATGCTTAACAAGTGATCACCAAACGATCCTCCATGAATCCATCTATAGCAAAACGTAACTCACTTCATAACAAGCACAAGAAGAATCATCAAGGATCAATATATCCCAATTCAAATCCAACAAAGATTTGATCACTTCAATATTGATCACTAACTCTTCCACTTGTAGAGTTAGCATAGTTCACAACTGAATCACTTTTCAAGAAAAAGCCAAAGCTCAACCTCTACTAAATAATCTCGTCTAGAACACAACTAACTCAAACTTGCCACTCAATTCATTTGAACGTCAACATAGTTGCTAACTAGCAAATGCGCGAATGCTAATAACACAAAGCTATAACCAAATCATCAACACTATCTTCATTGAGAGCAATGAAACTCAATATCAATCCTAAGGATAGATATATCATCTCACCTGAATCTCAACATCAATAATATCAATGACAAAGCATCACCTCAATGCCATCAACACCATAACAAAGCTAGAAGAAAGCAAGAGTGTATCACCACTCAAAGCTCTTTAGCAACCAAGCTAACCAAAGTCGGAGATACTTTACTCAGTATCCGAGACCAATTTCTCAACAATACTCAGGTACAGATAACACTTCCTCAAGGAGTGAATCACCACGTCCAAGACTCAATGAAATCCAACACCACGGACTAAATGTAACCAAATGATATCAATAGAGGTAAAATTGAAATGCTAACATGGAAAAACCATGTAAGTCTAACGACGCAATCCTCCGCAACACCATCCGGTAAAGCAAGCCCATCACCGCTAAACTATCATCGAGTGAAGCAAGTATCAGAGGTCCTCGACGAAGTCTATAAGCAACCATTAGTCGCAAGGCAACCAACAATCACTTTTCAACTTACCTTCACAAGACCCAAACACTAACTTTTTGTCATCAAGTCATATACTTGTCCGACATGAACATAATACCCCAGGTATGAAATAAAGGTTCATGGACAAGCATAAACTAAATGACTACTCGAATCCAACTCAACCGCGATAAGCTCACAAACACATCTAGTCAATAGCTCTGAGCATGCCTTGAAGAGGCTAGCTATGCATGATCAACACTCAGCCGAAACTAAAGTGAAGACCATGAGATGGATCTATATCAGTACACAACCTCCTCATAGACAAAGCTACAGTACGGGTACTAACATCTCAAACTCAAACAACTAAGTTGAACATCACCATCCTTAGCCAAGGTGCAGGGCCACCAAGACCAAATCAAGATCAGTGAGAGTTCACTACTCTCATAGAGTCTTAACAAAATGCAAGGTGCAACCTGCCACCGAGCATAATGCTACAAAAGAAAGGCACAAGGGTCACCCTTCTTAGAAAAGTGCAACGGCCACTTTTCTACACCAACTCTAGACTCTATCCAACTCAATTGCCTTAGCCCCAAAAGTCAGTATTCCTTTCGGGCTGCATCATACAAACTACTTACCGAGGTCTAAGTTAACCGAAGTCAACTCCAACCCTTTCACTAGTTTGTACTGGCTTACGAAAACGGAAAGGTTTTCGGACAAAGTGATAACAGATCAGCCATTGGAAAAGTCTAAGAAAATTTGTGGAAAATTTTCCATCCTAGAGAAAGAATGACTTCAGTCCAAGAATGCAAACTTTCAAGACTCAACCAACTTCCTCCTACTTGACAACTTCACATAGGCTCACCTTAACACAAATTCTCTTGACCTATAGTATGCTTAAGCTTCGAACATCTTTTTTTTTTTTACCCATACTTCCGACATCCAACATCGATATCCGCAAAAATGCAAAATGAACATCCAAGGCTTGATCACGAAGACC